ACCACAGCCATGACACATTTGAGAACCAACCACAGTAAATACAGCACACGGCGAGCAGCAATCCGAGCAATAACGATATCCAGCATCATCGCAGTCATCGTCATTCGCTCGAAAGTCTGGAGCCCTGCATTTTACAAAGGCCATGAACTCGAACCCCTGGCACCCAACCTTTTTTGGATCCCTGCAGTTGATTCGTTTCAGGCCGTTGACCGGCGTGGCGACCGCGGTATGCGGGCCCGACTTCCCAAAGGGTTTTGCTTAGACAGCCCACAGTTGTTATTGCTGTCGTAATAGGCCCCCGGCCCCGGATTCGAAAAACTGGTTCCACAGTTTTTGGAAGCTGCCGCGTCAACTTCGACGACAATGCTGCGAACAAGGTTTGCATGTAAGCCATAAAGGCTGCACGCATGCACAATGCCTGTCTGAGCCCATGTCCCGGGAAGCCCCAGAAAGAAGGGAGGGCAGGAACTGGTTGCACTCGTTGTGGCCGCTGCGTCATGCTAACATCAATATGTTGTTTGGTTAAAAACATTTTGCAGTCATGCGAACCCAGCAGAGCATAAATATCCCATGCAAATACCTGCATGCATCCATGCACACGTGCAAAATGTTTAGCTACGTAAAGGGCCAAGTAGCTACTTGTAGGTCAGCGTCCTGAAGTTTTGGACATCCTTCTGTGGAACCTTGCAGCCTCTGCGTCGGTGTCAGTTTCTTGGCTGTTGCTTCGGCCTGCGGAGCCCTGAAGTCATCAAATAGTGAGCGGGGGTCCAGAGTGTGGAAGTTTGGGCTGAGGGTTGACCCGCATCACCCTCTACCTGAAATGCTGAGCCCAAAGCCTTACAATGCAGCCGACGCCATCTATTTGCTGAGGTCACAGGAAGCTTAGCAAATAAGGTCCCAGCAGGAACTCGGACACCCATGATGGGATCGTATTACAATCGAGCTAGTTCAGAAGCCCGACTTCCTAAATCCCGCATCCTGTCAGCCTAGCCTAAAGGAACCTTCAGTGAGCCTGAGCTTCCCGACCCAAGCATTGAACGTTGAAAGGCTGGCTTGATAACTGCAGAAGATGGTCTCTAAATCATGCTGTCAATCGGGTTTACATACACTACCTCGCCAAGGGACGAGATGACTTTGACATGCGCATGGCCATGGGACGAGGCTTTGATGGCGGGCCTAGGGTGGTTATTGGGTAGTTTTGGGTCGGACTCGCTCAGGTATTGGGGTCTTCGGTTCAGGACTTCTCGGAGAGACAGCCCGTGTGCTGATGTCTTCGGGTGTGAGCTGTACGAGATTGTGCTGTAGAGTTTCGATTCGGGAGTATTTGCTTCTGCAGCGGGGCATGCTAGACTACCATGATCATGGGGTCAACCAAGTGCACCCACTCTTTTGAAGCCTGTGCTGGGAGCAGCTTCGGCTTGTTGTGGTTGTCAAGCTTGGCAAGGGCAAGGTCCCGGTGTCTTCTTGACTTCGGCACTGATTATGGAACCTTACCTGCCCTAAAGATTTTGAGCAGGGCTTCGAACCGGACACATCAGGAAGAGACCCATCAGCAAGTTCGGCTAGAGGTTTGGAAAGCAACAGCAGGCTCAAGCCAATCTCTGCTCCACAGGGTAAACTGAGACGAGCCCTGGAATCTTTCACTGAACCCTGAACACGGCAGTGCTGAGGATTCTATTCCCGCAGAATGATATGGTATAGCTTTCGCGCTCTGTCCGAGATTGGTGTCCTAGGTTTCGATTATTAGGCCACGAGCGCTACCACTTCAAGCGCATGATCCAGACTTCTGAACCCAGAAATGCAGAGACCAAGCTCAATGTGCTTTGCGGTTTGCAGGCTCACCGTCCATGCAGATGCCACCGTCCCCGAACGCGAGAGACCCGTGCCGCGAAGCCTTTTGAGAATCAATGCAGCTTTGCAATGAACGGGATTCGGGACGGTTTAGCGTTTAGGGCGCCGGCGGCTGGAGTGTAGGGTTGCGAGACCATATTCTTGAGGTTTGTTGTTGTGGCAGTTCAGAGGAACATCTTCACCGAGGAGCATTCAGCTTCCTGGGTTTGAAGTCTGAAGGTCGGTCCGATAGGTTCGCGAGGATCTGAAAACACACAGCCCAGACTGGTCCGGGTGCTAGTGCCACATGTGACTCCAGTTCAGAGCTTGATCAGGCCAGAACACCTTGGAGCCTGCTCCCCCCCCTGGCGGAGCAATTACGTACAAAGCCTGCTCTAGGGTTGTCAGAGCGAGACCTTACAAGAGAGGTACGGCGGTGGCTACCCGGATCCCGGCTACTCGGATCCAGGCCGTTTGTCTGCAGTCAGAGCCAGCGATACAAGCAGGTATTCAGGGACTCCCAGCTTGATGGCAGCGGGCTCGGGCTTTATGGTTCAAAGCCTCTAGTTCAAGCATTGTTGTTTGAAAAATTGCTGTCTTCATTAAGCCTGCGTGGATCCAAGTCCCAGCAAGCTCCACCTTGGCGGATGACCCTTGACCACGCAACGTGCTAGAATTTTCAAAGACCGGACGACTCCGTTTCAAGCGATAGCAAAGAGCTTGAGGGTTCAAGGCTTAGGATTTAGAGTTGCGGGACTTTGGGAGGATATACATTGTGTGGCTGCATGTATCCGCAAGCAGTCTCTTATTGCTATTTTGTCATTGTGGAACCAGTCCTGGGGCTAACATGTCGGTACCTTAAGTTTAACAAGCTTACACTTACACTACCCTTTTCGGAAGCAAGCAGAAACCAAGCAAAGGTATTGGGGTTCAGGGCCAAGGGCTGTGTTCAGAAGAGGCTACGATGATCCGTATGATCGACAGTCGCTGCACCTCGATCGCGACCCAGGACATTTGTTGCAAAGTCCTGCAGCTTGGTCCCCAACCTATGTAACCGTTTACCTGGCTGTAGCTTTGCACGCTCCACCCTTGCGGTTGCGTTCTAATGCACTATCCCTGCACAGCATGTTCACTTGCTGCGGAACCGAATGAGTGCTGAGAACGAAAAGGTAAGAACGGACAAAGATATTACGAAGAGCATCAAGCACGTCATCATCATCGTCAGTCTCGTCCTCATGCTCATGATCAGAGGCCGAACCCTCCGGAAAGTCTCCGGGCTCCGTCCAACCCCAACTCTAGCGTGGCACGGGGCGAGAAAGGTTGCACTCCCAAGATTTACGGACACATGACCCCGAAGCACCGAAGAAGTTTCCCTGACTTCCCAACCCAAAGCCAGGAGCCAAGGCTAAAAGTCATCCAAGGCATCCCCAAGTTCCGCAGCCGAACACGCCCCAACAATGACAGAATTGACCGTAAACCTCCTCCCTAAATTCTAACCCAACATCCCTGAGATATACTCTTTGAAGGGAAGAAGCCGCGGGGAGGTCGTCGAAGCCCCGCTCGAACTCTCAATGAAAGAAGATACCTGAATCAATATCAGCCTTCTCTCATTTTTGCGTCGGCTTCAAGGGCCCATACCCCTGTGCGCGGCTCTGCAGCTTTGAACCGAGGGTTTCAAAGCCTCCAAAAATTTTTGTTGAACTCACTTCGTCCGTAATGGCTGAAACCTAAATCCCGAGCCCTGTCGATAGAGGCCTCGGCCTCTCAGGCCCGATACGAGCTCCACATGGGCTGGTACCGTTTTGGCTCCCCTAAGGAGAGAGAAATCCTAAGACAAGGGCACGCAGTTTTTCACAGTTTCAGTGCATGTGCCATGGGAACCAGGACGGTCCTACGGCGGATATCCAGATAGAGGCCAGCCTGTTCTCTTTACGGTTCTGTGGCGAATGTACATTGCTCGTAAGCCCTAAACCATAAGCCTTAATTTTCCCTAAGGGGCTTTGGAGGGAGGTTCTGCTGCGAGAATTCAAGGAGGGGCTGAGACGTTGAAGAATTGAGGCTCGAAGCGACGGGAGCCTTGCCCATGTAAGGTTAAAGGGTTTCGGGACACGCAGGACGATGATCATAACATTTAGCTCCTAGACAACGACAGCCATAAAAAGCTAGGCCCGAAATCCAATCCCCTGATTACATAAGTCCTAAGCCCCGCCTCAACGCTAAGCTCTCGACCTGGAGCAACTCATCAGATTCGGCCCCCCAGACCTTGCGGTGTGGGTGTACTGTAGGGTTCGTAGTTATTACAGCTGTTGTGATAGGAGTCCTCCAAGTAAGTCTTCCCAGGTCCACCTCTGAATCCTTATGTTAAATTTCGCGAAAACTCTGACACTTTCAGCTAGCACACGAGACCGTGTTGCTGTAGGGCTCAGGCTACAAGTTTATGGGTCTCTGCAGCTCGAACGTTTCTCAGAGGTTTTGTATTCTGACCTTTTCCTCGGGCTACAAGCACAAGTCGCAAAAGTATCTCAAAAGGAACCGCGAGCCTACCGCCAAGCAACCATGACGCTCCCAGGCGCCTCGCACGCGATCCCTACCGCAGTTTGGTAAACCCGAAGCCATAGAGCGACACTCTAAGCCCTTCAAAGAATCACATGCCCATGAACACATAGAAAATGAAAACTCCACACCCCCAAAACGTTTGTGGTTCTCCCTCGCAGGTGTGCCCTACACTCCAGAGGCGCGCATCCATCTTGGAGTTTCCAAAAGGTTCCAGGGTTCAGAGGTCTGGGGCTTGTTGGGGTTGATGGATTTGGCCCTTTGTTTCTGCCTTTGGGGTTGTGGTTGAGAGTAATAGGCCAGGTTCCCGATGTGGGGACACGGGTTTGAGGCTTCTGTGCTCGGGTGCTTTGCCAAGGCACTGTCATGGAAGCGAACCCTGAGCCATCGATGACCCTGAACTGTAAACTTTTGTAAACCCGAATCCCGAAACCACAAATCCTCCACAACCAGCCCGAAAGAGCTTTCAGTTCGTTTGGTTTGGGCGAATGCAGCACCTGACAAAGCTGTTCAGGAGGACAGATATGACCGCCGCCCCTCGCGGAGAAGTCCTGGCCTTTTGCCGCCAAGTTATTCAGAGCCGCGGGATTGGATTCTTGAAGATGGAGGGCTTGGAGGCACGGTTTCAGCAAAGACTTTTCGCACTGTTGCCTGCTACACCCAGAATCCGATGCCCGAAAGCATGGAAAGCCAGGTGGCGGCGACGAGTGGGGCGGCCAGAGACTCGAGTGCTGATAGTTGAATCGGTGAATTCGGAGTTTGGGTGCTTAGATTGTGAGTGTGTGTGTGTAGTTTTATTGTCTGAGTGCAAGTCTTCTGAAGATTTGCGGTGTCCGTATTCTTCCTTATGGTATGGCTAGTATTGGTAGAATTGTTAGACTTCGTGTCACATCATTCGCGAATCTTGATTAGATCGCTGTTTAGAGTCTCAGTTAGTTGCCATGTTCTCGTTAGGGTGCTGCTAGCCACAAATACGCAGGCTAGCCTAATGCATGTCGTCGGTGTGATGTTTCGAGATGAGTGGATGTTGAGCCTTTTGCCCTAGTTGGGACTTCTTGTCGTGGTTCGTGTGACTGCACGGATGTCAGAGGCCATACGGGTCTGGGATTTCTTTGTTTGTTTTACACTCTTTCGGATGCAGCTGTTTTGGCTAAGGACGCGTGTTATAGAGCGTGGAAGCTCGAGGGCTGGCGAATCGATCTTCACGTTCTGAAGCTCGGGACACCACGAGACCCTTGAGTAGAAAGCGAAGCCAGGCTGTGAATACTGCAGGGGAGTCAGCCTGCTGAGGTGCACTTGCAGTCGGCCCAACAACTTCAAGCAGAGTCCGAAGCCCTCAACCGTCGACCCCGCACCCAAGAGTGGGTTTAGCCGTAATGGCAAGAAGCCAAGGTCTCGGCCTCGACCAGGCGCTGCCCAAGCAGGTCGAACCGTGTCAGACTCTCCAGTGAGTTTACAATAAAGATTTTCTTGGCTTTTCGAAAGGAAAGAGACTGCCGACGTTTCACGCCGCGTGGGCTCAACGCTTGGGACCAGCGGTTTGGCTATTGCTGGTGTCTTTGATGCTTGTCTCCCCTCGTCTCCCGTCATTTCGCACAATCCAATGCCTGGGTTTTCTTTTGTCCCCCTACGTGCGGTGTTCACTTTGCCTCTCTTCAGTTGTAATCCTTGCGACCGCGGACGGTTTGTAGTTTTCAGGGCTACAGTTCCGTGAGTTGTCTGTGTGACGCACGTCTGCTCCAAGTGCCGAGCAAGAGCTTCAAGTGCCAACGTTAACATAGAGTTTGAGGCCATCAAGACCCCCAACTCCATGTAGGCCTATCTGACTTCCTTCTCTACTGTTCACCACCATGCCCTACAAGGGATGGTACAGGTTCAATGTTTGACCCCAATTCAATCGTCTGAGCGAAGCCCCAGAACCCAACAGAGATGTCCAATCTTTCTTTGGACACAAACATTATCAGCGTTTGGAGAGGCACCGATCCCTGGCAACGTGGCCCGCCTCTATGCAGAGGTCGGGTTGGGACGGATCCTCGCTTCGGTGCTTTTCTTAGTTCTGCAGCATCCAACGAGCCTTGGTTCCTTTTGATTAGGTTCATATACATCAGTATTGCTTTGCGAGTTTGTACTTTCTACATCCATCCTCATTCGATAGGTAACAGTCTCCAGGTGGTGGAGTAGTGAGGTACGTGCTCCCTGTGCTGATGTTCAACATCACCTTTTCCCGGCCACGAAACTCATCAATAAGGCGAGCGATTCTGAATGAGCTTCCGTGAGCATGCAGAGAAGGCACACTTCATGAAGACCCCTGAACACTCCATACACAAGAAGGTCTAATTGACCGGTAGGATCCCTCTTGCAATCCGTTGTAGAGGATGGACTAGCCATACTGACGAAATTTTGGCAGCTTTGCGTTTGCTGGGGATGAATGCACGGGGTCGGTAGAGGCTGTCAAAGCTTCAGTAAGCTCCACGCCCCGAACCCTGAGCCCAAGCCCGAAACCGTGAACTTCAGCCTTCGCTGGCGGCTTTCGTGGAGGTGTTGTCCAAGGGACCGGAGCGATAATCTTTTCGAAACTTTATACTGACACTGTGAAGCAAAGCGCTCTCGGAAACCCAGAAGTACTGTCGCCTGTCGCCTCTTGTGCTCGAATTGCTTCCAGGGCGGATCCCGGGGCACCCCGCCAGGTTCTCGGGGGCCGGAGCCTCGGGGGGAGGATCATCTGCTTGCGCTTAATGGTGTGTAGCATGCTTATACCCGAATCACACAGCAGTACAGGCAATATCGTGATCTGAGTTTTTTTCCGGACTTCATCGGCTGTTTGAGGGGATTTGTGTGGGACCAGCTTGACTGCAATAGATCTTGAACACCATGACCACCAGAACAGTTTCAACTTCTAGTCTGCTATGCTAGGAAGAAAGATCACTTCGCTTGAGTTCTTGGAGAGGTTGACTCCGTGCTTTCGACCGGAAAGGTCCGAGAGTGCAACCCCAATCCGAAAGAGACCCGGATTGAGCACCCAGCCCGAGCATCCCAAATCCCTTCTCAATCCTGCATCACATCGACTTCAATTTCCTGAACCTGCCAAGCAACGCAAGCGAGGTTCCGTGGATTCGAGGAGCGCTCATGCGGGGGAGGGCAGGGTGGGATGGTTGCACGCCTGTTTGGGCGAGAATCCCAGAATATTCTACCGTAGGGGGCCAAAGCAGTTGCTCCCTAATCTGTGCATGGTGTACAGTTTTGTTGCATGGAACCCTGCAAGAAACTTCGTCAGAACAGGTTCTGTACGGCTGAAATCCCAGGCAAGAGCCAGCAAAGGAAGCCTCGAGGATCCCAGTTGCGGGGCTTGGGGTTTCAGATCATCCGGAGACTGTGACGCATGCACACGGCATTCGATAAGACAGCAGGAGAGCATCTCAGAGACTCCGTTCGAAGCCCTGGTAACAGTTAAGCCCTTGGAATAAAGAAGCCTACAAGCCACATAATCCCAAAGCTGCAGCAATGGAATGCCCAATGACTTCGGCAACCATCAACCTTCAACTATAAAGCACCAAAGCCCTCAAAGCACTAAGCGCTCCACCCCTAGACACCCTTAACCCTGAATTCCTCACCCTCGGACCCTTCAGCTTAAACCTTCAAGTGCGAGGCACCAGAGCCGGAGGTTCCCCACGCATCGGGGCCCTCCAAGGCTGGGCAAGACAGATGAGACGGTTTACCGGGCTCTATGGGCGGGCTTAAAATGGCGTAGGGGCTTGGGCTTAGACTGTACAGTGTTGGCGAGTGTTTGGGACTCTAGGGTCCGGCTTTGGGCATTCGGGTGTGGCGCTTCAGGGTCTTCTGTAGGGCTTCGCGCGTTTTGGAGTTTGGCTTGTCGGGGTTCAAGGTCCAGTGCGCACCATCGTATGCCAGCTTCTTTAGCTCGCAAGTTTGTGTTTCAAAATCAGCACATGAGCATCATTAAATTTGTCGACGTCAGGCTTTTTGGTTGGAAGCTTGCGCCAAACGCCTGCTGCAAGTGTCAATGTCACTGTAGCTGGTGCTTCTAGTGCTGCTGTTGCTGCTTCTGACTCTGCTGCTGCTCCTTTTGCTTGGCGGTGTGCTGCGTCTTGGTGGTTTTGCCGCGATTGTGATTGTTGTTGCGGTCGTAGTTCTGACTATGGTTGCGATTGTGGGAGTGGGGGTTCTGCTGCTGCGGTCTGTACCGTGACTGCATCGAATTTGTTGATGGAAGGGCTGGGACCGTTTGAGCAGGGGCGTAGAGATTTAGCACCGTCGGGTTTTCGGTAAGCCGTTACAGCCTCGTCTGCCAGGGCGGCCGCGCCAATGCAAGAGCCTTAAGTGGTGTTCCTGTGGAACTTCATTCTTGAGAGGCTGTTTCTCAACGTCTAGTAATTCAGTAAATCTAAAAGTTCCCTCCATCAAAACAGCACTTCCGGCTGTTGTGACCTGACATTAGGCCGTCAGTCATCAATAGGATCAGCAGGCTTCGAACCAATCCGCTCACAGGTTTGGCAGGATAAACTGCGACTGAAAGCAGGCACACTTCTAGTGCCTGGAGGGAAGCAGTACCTTTCTTAGTGTGGCCATGGCCCAGCTGGATAGTTGCTTGAGACCCCTCGCTGCGCCAAGGTTCGTGATCCAAACGTGCGATGCTCACGAGTGGTTTTGTTGCATGTGCTGAGGTTGCGGGGCATATGTAAGCAACTACTGTATCAGGGCCTGTTGCCGTTCTTGCAAAGGCGAAAGACAGGTGAATTTTGGATCAGGGGGTTCATTTGTGCGTGCCCATTCCCGACTCAAGCGATGTTCATTTGCACGCTTTTGTGTGATGATGTCGGATGGAGCCGAGCACCTCACATCCTCGATACAACATTTTGCCGGGGTCCACCGTTCCTAAATGTCGGCGAAGCAGTATTTTGCTTCCTTCGAGGCTTCGTGATGCCGCAGTTGTGTCGTTCTTTGGACTTCGGGTGTGCTATTATGTGCAATGCAGGCCGAGGTGTATATGTGTGGTAGGCAGTGCAGGCAGGAGGCCCAGGAATCAATAAAGCGCAAGACATCAACTGTATTGAGGCTGAGCGCACTGCCTGACTCCTTGAACCCCGCAACCCAAGCCTCAGCGCAGAGTTGCAGAGCCCAAGATCCGGGGCTAGCATATACAGCCTTAAATCGGCAGGATTTGAGACTATCCGCGGTCTGGGCCTTAAGCCCTACACCTATGAAGGTAAGTCTCAGTCCTCCAAGGTTCGGGGTGCTGTCAACCTTTCTCTTCACTTGTGACTAAGGCCAGCGCCGAGTGGGGTGGACTTTCCCTGGGCGACGTCATGGAGCCCCGGAGGCAGCGCAAAGGACGACTTCGGTGCTCTTCGGAATTTGGTTTTCTGACGTACAGCAAGCTTCTACGAGTACTTAAGGGGGGCACCGTGCAGCAAGCCTAGTTGTCTCAGGAGGAAGATGGAGTTTGCATGTTTAGGGCCGCAGGGTTTCATAATTTCTGCTGCACGGCGAAAAACTCAAGGCTTCAAAGTTTAGGCAAAGCTTGGAGAAGTCTCTTGGCTGAATTCAATACAGTGAGCAGCTCCAAATATTTTGTCTTAGTCATCATCGCCTGACCTGCCGATTTCTTCATTTATCCAGTCGTATCCTGAACGAACAGAGTTTGGGTTCTGCTACTATCACGCATGGCTTCAAGCGCTCTTGGGTGTCCCTGAACGTGCTTTAAATCATTGCGTACCGCATTAGATAGATGGATGGTTCAATAATCAGATACATATGTTATATATACACACACACATACCTGAAACTCCAACCGCATAAAGCAGGTAGATCCGTATGCCCTGAGAGCCTCCAGGATTATCCCCCAGACCGTTCCACCCCAGACATCACCCCTTGGAACGATTCCTTCGATTCCTTCCTGTCGCAGGCCCGAGCCGCGTCCCAAAGCGCGGGAGCGACCCGCTGTTCAGGAGGAGGCACTTGTTTTGTGCTGCTCTTGCGGGGGGAAAGAGGGAAGGTGTTTCGGTTTATGGTTACACACTTTTTTCAAGAGGAGGAGCTCTGGAGCTTGATATTTGTTTTAAAGTGCTCGAAATCACGAACCGTTCAGCCCTTGGTGTCCCTGGGTCTTCTTCGGAAGGTGGTGGAGATGGCTCACAATCTTACCAACCCCGAGACGCGACACAAGCACGAATGACCACGAGGCCTAAACTCTATCGCCTGATCCAACAATTCTCACGAGTCTCTCTTGGATGGCAGATACCCCAAGCACTCAGAGCAACCTGGTGTGCAAATTTCTGCTGCATGGCGCACATGTAATGTAGCCCTTCCCGGTGTGTGTGTGTGTGTGTGTGTGTATGTATATATATATATATATATACACATATATATATATATGTATATGTATGCGCACATGTTTGTTCGTTCCTATATGCTTACAGTGTATCAACCTCCGAAACGTGATTATCATTAAGGCCCGCACATGTGTTGCCACCTCTCGAGTCACGAGGACGAAGATGTCTGGTCTCTGTGCGTCGGCATAGAAGCCTGCTATGGTTCATGCAGATGCTGACTATTCCAAACCGTAGGTTGCCTGTGAGCAGGGGCATGCACGAGGCTTAGTCTTACCTGCACCCTCCGAACCCCTGCAAGCCCTAAACCCTGAAAAGCCAAATCCCGAATCCCCGAAGCTAGCATGTCCAATGTGACCGGAAAACGTGGTGGCTCCGGGTCTATTCCCAAGCTAACGACCGAAGCTGAAAGATAGCAACAAATGGAGAGAAAAACCGGAAGCAAGGAGCTACTCTGCCAGAGTATGTGTGAACTCTTAAACTCTAAGCCCGAACACTGCAGAATGCTTGCGCACCCGAACCATATCGTTCAAATTGAGCCTACACCTCACCCACGATGCGGGCGATTCCGGCTGCGTTTGCCCATGCCGGCCTTACAGTGCGGCCATCACAACGTCGCGGTGTCAGCATATGGCCGTAGAGCATTCTCCCGAGCCTGCTGAATTGTCGTTCACCATGCATAGTACTCGTAGATCGGCGCGTTTGCGGTTGTGATGCCGGTTGCTGGTACATTTCGTTGTAAATCTCACGGTTCTGAAGCTCTCAAACCCTCAAGCCCGAAAGCGCTGGACCCCTCGTTGGTTTTGGGGGCTGGCACTGGTTCAGGTTCGCGAATGCGGCTTAAGGGTTGTATGCCATACTGACGGCCAGGGCTTTGGGAAGCCCGAAAGTATTGATCAGAGGGTTGTACGGTAGTGTACGACTTCTTTCGTGTGTGGACTGAGGCTTCTTCGAGACGTTTGTGAGGTAAGTAGGGTTTTGATGTTTAGAGAAGTTTGGTTTTCAGTGCTTTCGGAAAATTGTGCTGCAAGGAGGGGTTTGAGGTTTGCAGCCGCGGTACATTGTACCCTACCCCAAGACATGTTGATTCCTCTGGCATCCGAGCAGCCCAAAACATCCCGAAATGATACCTGAAAGACATCGACGCCTTCACCATAAACCTGACCCTCAACCCCCCACGTCCAAAGCCGTAAACCCCGAAAACCCGTTGAAGCTCGAGCTACACGGCCCCTGAACCTCCGCGTGAGTCTTGGAATGTCAGCTCAGGTGCAGCAGGTCTGGGTCTCTTCCTGACTTCTGCTGCTGAGGCGGCCATGAGGGCTATTTAGGAATTTAGGCTTCGAGTCTACATTGGAGTTTACGGGTTTGGGATACAGGGCCATGAAAGCTCCTGAAGGCGTTCAGAGTTTAGCGGTTTGGGGATCGGTGGCAAGATAGTCCGGGCTCGCGCCAATGTCATGGCCCTTTGACGCAGACACACACACACACACAGAGACACCCGCACACAGACACCCGCACAAAGACACGCAACCACACACACACACACACACACACTGTGCCCGGAGTAGTAGGCCATTCGGTCAAAGGTTATTGCACCGGAATCGAGAATATATTCCTGTCTAGAGCTCTTTCTCCTTATGCTGCACATCCGACTGGGCTGAGTTGGGGCCCGACACACTTTGGACAGGCTGGCACGCTGCTTCTGGTGGTTCCAGCCGGCAGGCTCGCGACCGCAGGGACCAACAGAATCAAAAAAATCCGTTCACCAAGGCCCACTACGCACACGAATCTCACGGATAAGACTCTCGTACTGGGTTGTACCGGGTCTGGCATTTGATGATTTTGATTGAAAGCTCTCCGCTGCTGAGAAGTTCACGTATTAAGCTGCTTCCGCACGTGTCCGACACAATCCAAGCAGAATCCGCCGCATCGCAGATCATGCGCAAAGAACCGGACCACATAGAACAAATGAGCGACACTCGTCCCAGCCGTTTGAGTCACGTCCTGACTCCAGGAGCACACCGACCCAGCTTCGCCACCTGGATGTGAGTGCCCCAGGCGGTCATGGACCTGTCTACAACCTCGTCCAAGCTCCTTGCCGGCACAAGTCTCCAGTCTGGTATTCGGGATTCAGGCGTCGTGGGTTTCTTGGGTTCCGGCCTTCAGGCAAGTCTTTGTGTTACGAAGTCCGGCCTCGATCTCGAGTTGTCGCACGTCGAGGTTTTGATGATGCAACCCTATCAATGCCAAGCGGCTATCGCTCTTACTAAAGGCGGCCCGCTGGTGTCATCCCCCTGGACCCTGAAGCACAGGCTGAAAGATGAGCGAGTTCTGCCCATGCTGTAAATGGCGACACAGCGTGTCCAGCACTCCAGTTGGCCAATTCCGAGTGCACGTCTGGTGTTACTCGTGTCCTTTTCCAGCACGCGGCACTGCTGTTGCACCGCAGATCAGTATCGTGTCGTCTGCTGGGTGCAAGATGCTACAACCTGCTGTCTTGCTCGGTGTTCCCAGTCGAATGAACTTGCCACCTAATGATGTGCGGCACAGACAGGTTCAGATAGTTTCCATCCTGCTCTTGGGCAGGCCACATGGGAGAACCCTGCCGGGTTGTTGAATCTGAATCTGCCATCATGAAATCCGATCTGAAATCCGACCTGAAATCCTTTACTGTGCTTGTAGGTTTGGGAAGTTATTAGGATTGGAAAGTATAGGTTAGCGCTCAGTCCAGGCGCGGCAAGTGCCCTAAGCACCAAGGCCACATCGATGGCATCAGCTTCCTGGCAGCAAGAAGATTATCACCCACAGCAAGCCCAAAGCTGCAGATGCTCCCTCTAGATCGCAGATCTACATCAGTTTCCGTGGAGAAAATCCCTGGTTATTGATTAGAGCTGCTGCCGAGAACTCTGAACCTTGAAGCTTCAACCCTCAAATTATCCTTCCCCTTCTCTCCCCATGTAGAACAACCAACCCCTCAATCCGAAAACCTAGGCATTGGACGGAGTGAATCTGCCAAGTGTCCCCGATCGCCTCAAGGACCGGCATACGGGTTTCCATCTGTCGGGTGAGGGTCTTAGGATTTAAGGGTGTGGCTACGCGGACGTGGAGCCCTTGCTGTGAGCTAGGTGAGATCGGTTGGCTTTAGCCTTGCCCCTCGCCTGGCCCTTTGCGCCTGGCAGGGCTGGGTTGTGTTAAAACAGTCACAGCGATGAGTCCAACGGATGGCTGTTTTTCTACGGTTAAGAGAGGCTCTTTGCGACTTTTTTGATTCGTTTTCTGTTCTTGTGGCTTGCCCTTCCTTTTCGTCGTAATTTGTTGTTGGTCACTGCACGTTTCGTACTCTATCACGCGTGCGTTTGAACTTTCTAGGCTGGGGCAGGAGGAGTTGGACGCTCGCGGAGTCTTTGTTTCCTGGTTGAATTAGGGAACTTAGGTTGGGTTTAGGACCTGGGATAAGAAGTTTAGAACAATCCAAGGTCCCGTTTCTTATTCCCAACGATTTCTTGTTAAATGCGCTGGTCTCTGCTTGTGACAAGACTCGTGGTTCTCCCTTCTTGCACTCGAAGCCTTGCAAGTCCCAAGTCTGTATTAAACAGGCCGCCACATAAATCTCAAAGTTCTGGCTTGTAGTGGCCAGTTGCAGGAGGCGCTGGGCGCACTCTTGAGTGATCCGAGGCATGGCGACACAGCCTTGGGGGGTTGTTAGGGATTGCAGCTTCAGGGTGCTAAGTCAGCAGCTTTAGGCCCTCAGGGCTTTCGTTGCAGAGTGGGTGCAGATCAAGTCCTTTGAACTCGCAAGGTTGTTTTCATCGAGTTCATTCATACAAATTCTCGTCTCAGCCCAAAGCCCCAGTCTTCCACTCGCCAAGATCCCCATGACTCCTAAAGCCTAGCAGCTCTTGAGGTAGTTTGGGCTGTAGGCTCGCGCTGTGTGCCACTTTCCGGTGCACCTTCAAGGCAGTGGCGCTCCGTGAGCGCTCCCCGGCGCCTGCGCGTGCCTGGCCGGTCGGGAGAGGTGCGGGGCGAAGGGCCTTTGGGCTACAAGAAGCACGGCACGGAAATCCTGAGCTTCTGCATGCTGCTCATGTTGTATCATTAAAACCAGTTGAAGCAGAAACGTTCTTCGGCTGACCCCCGCGAGATGCGACTTCAGTTTGCTTTGCAATTCCCATCTACAAGATGTGCTTTATACGAGCATGACTCCAAACAAGATTCATCGAGCAGGACTCCAAGCAAGACAACCGTGGGGTTCATGAGGGAGTCGGTTGCCTGAATGTGCATGTATACATGTCTGTATTTGTATTTACACATGTATTTAGTTCTCTTTATTCCTCCATTTACGAACATGTATACACCTAAATGCATACATGCGTGCATGCATGCATACATAAGTACTCATGTGTGTATAGATACATACATATATACATATAGACAGAACACTGTATATATACATATACACATACACTTACATATACATAGGCATAGGCATAGACATAGACATATACATATACATATGCATATACATATATGTTGCACATACATACAGATGTACACACATCTTACAACATATTATAATATCAAAATAAACATATGTATGTATGTATGTAGGTAGGTATGTACGTACG